ACGTGATTAGATAATCATATAAGAAGAACATACACTTGTACTGAATTGGAAAAATATCAAAATATATTGTTCCAAGAATCATTAATGAAATCAGATCCTGCATTCTATCAGACATGTTTCCCAAGGACTTAAAACACACACAAATACAACCTTTTGGTCTAATTCATTAGTTTTATTTAATAAAATAGTTCTCAAACATATTCAAGAAAGAATGATTTCCCTAAAGACACCTGCCCTTTTGAATCTGCTTGATAATTCTTCCAGAGGTTGTAGGCTTCAACATTGCCCAAGTTTCTTCTTCTCTGTGGCCTCAAAGGTTTCTTAGCTGGGAAGCGATACAAAGATTAGCACATTCTTGACGTTAACTTCTATTATCTCTTTAATGTTGGAAATAGTTATGAGTGCTTATTATGTTCTAGGCATTATGCCAAGGAGTTTGCATAAATTATTTTACTAGATTCTCAGATACATACAACCACTTACAGAAATACACTCTATGGTGGAGGTACTAGAGGTAAAAGCTTAAAAGACAGTGACTTACTGCCAAAAACAAAACAAAACAAAAACCACCTCAGAATGTAGTAAGAGTGAGAATTTGAATCAGGTCAGTTTGAATCCAAAGTTTCCATACTGCTTGTGTCTTACCCTATTTACTATCATCCTAGGAGGTCTTGTAGGAATTCAAATTCTACATTTAGATATTCACCTTTCTATGTGGGGTTTACAATTCTGAGAGAGTCTGTAGGTTATAATTTCCCTATTAAAAGAACCAGATGTACTAGAAAGGGAGTGAAAAAAGAGGAGAGAACTAGAGATCAAAGTGATCTTCCAATATTTTTTTATCAGCATAAGTATATTTTGTCAGAGTTTTTTGTCTACAAGTTAAGAAAATCAAGCTGGAATTCACTTAAACAAGCAAGGACGATTTATTTCTTTATGTAACTTAGCAAAATCAGATACTCAAATGATACATAGAGGCAGCTGGCTTTCTGCATTTCTTGATTATACTTACCTCAGTACTCACTCAGGAGAGGCCTTTCCCAGTAATGGCAAAAAAAGTAGTGAATAACTTACTGCAGATTCACAATCTACAATCTTGGAACTATGTCAAAATATCTTAATCATCAGGAGTAAAAAGTTAAGGAAGAGCAAAAATAAGAATTGAGGCAACAGTTTCCATCATAAAGTTACCTGTTCTGTTTCCAAAGTAGCATTGGGTATCCAATCCATCTCAAAGCTTTTAATTTATTCCATTGTATTTATATTATAAACACATGTATATACACATATATAATCTACATATATGAAAAATTAATTTATCATTTATTTTATCTCAAATTGAAAGTAGGATGGAGGATCTCATGTTGCCTTTCTGGCAACCCTTTAGTTTAGTAAATACAGGAGAGTACAAATTTTTTTATTTCAAAGAGACTTAGTTCCCTTTAAACATAATATTTTTTTCTTCAAAAAATCCAGACTGTATAGATAGAAGCCTAGTGAGGCCATGAAACTTTTCCAGTAGCGTGACATATTTTTCAGGAACAACATTTTCAGATATTCTGGCTTATAGTGGATATCTATTTCTATGCATATACACTTTACAAGAAGGAATATTTTCATGACACAGTTTCATATATGTGTTATATATGTGGCTGGTAGCAAAATATTGGGGCTCATTAGACATAAAATGGCTTTCTGTAGTCTTAAAACAAGTTCAAGTACCATATTCAAGATTAAATCTAATAAAACATGTGCCTTTCAAGATTCGTTTATCTCTTCTCTATCCTTCTTGATATTGAATAGATTTTATGTTTATTAACCATACCTTTTTTGTGCCACACTGGGGCTTGAACTCAGTGTCTGTGGGCTGTACCTTGCCTTTTTTGCTGAAAGCTGGTGCTTTACCTCTTGAGCCACACCTTTCCTTCTAGCTTCTTGGTAGTTAATTGATTATAAGAGGCCTTTCCTGTCAGGGATGGCTAAGGAACTGTGATCCTCAGTTCTCAGTCTCTTGAGTAAGTAGGATTAGAGGTGTGAGGCACTGGGTGCTACGCTAAAAATACTGCTGTAATGTGAGCTTCTGTGAATTCCAGTTTGTCTCCAGGTGTTGTATTGCCATTCCATTGTCAAAAAATCTATCATAAAAGTTTAAGTACATTTTTTGGAAACATAAACTACTTAAAAGAGACTTTCGGGTGTAGAGAAGTAAATACTGGCATCAGCATGTGTTCCTCAGACCTTCCCTCCTCGAGGGTGGGGAAGCCTGACAGTCTGAACAGATTACCAAACTAGTTCTGAGATACTGGACTTTTTCCTCTTAGATACAAGTTAACTGGAATTAGTTGCACCTTATACCAGAACAATTGAGTGAGAGAAGATCTACAGTTCTTTTTAATACCATACAGGTGATAAAATAGGAATGGGGAAAGTTTTATTTACACAAATAAAAAATAGTTCTGGGTGATGAAATTATATGCATGTAGTAGGTATTAAGAAGACCTTTCTTGTAAGAAAGGAATATAACCTGATATATGTTATTTCCTTCATTTAAGAGACACATCATATAGAAGATAGTCTGAAGTACTAGAACATATATATGCTAATGATCTCTTACCTGAATTTCACAAAAATTTGTTCTTAAAAGAACCTTGCAAAGTAAAGTCTTCCCTTGCTACATAGGGTAATGTCCTGCCTTAGGCTGGTAAATTGAGCTAGCATTTACAAGCAAGAAAATTTCTAAACTGAAAAACACTACTGAAAATGCTACATGCTATTTTAGCAATTTAAAATTAATCAACTATTGACTTCTATGATTTTGAATTGTGTCTTTTGGGTAAGAAATGCAAAGGCTAAAATATATCTTCTGAATAAGTGTGAATAGATGAATACTCCCTATTCCTGCCTTAATGCCTGAAGTAAAAAGGAATTATTTATGAACTGTGGTAAAGGTCTTATCCAGAAAGGGCTCCTTTCCAAAGCTAAGTGTCTTGCGCACTGGAATTGGCCTTGTTCTGTGAGCTTCACTCTACCTGTCCAAGATAGAGATAGTGTCTTGCTACTACTCTTTTCAGTAAACATTTAATCTGTGACCAAACCTTTTGCAATCATAGCTAAGATCATAGAAGACTTACAAACATTCTCATTTACTTTAAGATGTCTGTCTTTGGCTTAATATCCCATCATCACTATAACTAACATTGCATGGAAAATGTAGGCAGAGTACATTTGCAGCTAAATGACTGAAATTAAAAAACTATATGACTTTACTGTCAAATTCCAATATTAAGATACTATGATTTAATACTTCTTTCATTCTGTTTTAAATGGAGTTGGATTGGTTTTCAATGCAATGTGTGTGTGTGTGGGGGGGGGGGGAACCTGTGAGATTCTTCTAATGAACTAACCACCAAAAAACCAGAAGTGCCAATGTTGCTCAGGTGGTGAAGGCTCCAGCCTTCAGCAAAAAAGCTAAGTACAGCTTCTAGGCCCTGAGTTCAAGCCCCAGGAGAAAAGACCTTCTGGAAATGTGCAAATGTCATTAGTTTAGATGCAGTCAACCAGAGTCCAGGGGCCCCTGGCTCCTTATTTCTGTTGGAAAGTGCATGACTGGATCACATGCACACAGACATCCCACATCTGCATGTGTAAATGTATTCCTAGGAAATGATAAAGTCTCCTTCTGACACAAAGAACATCTTTATCCATTTTAAAGCAAAGCAAAACCTGACTGAGGAAAATATTCCAGGAGATGCTGGAATCAATTATTGAATCATAACATGATGAGATGTACACATTCTTGGGAGCAAAAGCCCTGTTGTGCTGCTAGTGGCCTTGACATGTGTTTGTTAATGAACCTGGGTGAATATGAAGAAGATAAGCAGGTCCAGAAGAAGAGGGACTTGAAGACATAGATTTGCTCTTATCTTCCATGGTGGCATCTGGGATCCTCCTCACGGCTTTCTTGAGCCTTCTTTACTAAGAAAAAGAGAATCCACTGAGACAACCTGCCACTTAGTTTGAAAACCAAGCTACAGAGCAAATCAGCTCAGAAAGCTTGCACTCCTTTCTACTTTGCCCCGTGCTACCACTGGGGAGGGAGGGAGAGGGAGAGAGAGGGAGAGAGAGGGAGAAAGAGAGAGAGAGAGAGAGAGGAGAGGGAAGGAGAGGAGGAGAGGGAGAGAGAGGGAAAGAGAGGAAGGGAGGGAGGGGCGCACAAAACACACATTAATATATTTTTCTGGATCTGGTTAAGTAATATTTGCACTTTTGTTGGGCAAGTGGCCCCTCGTGGGCAATTATGGCACATTTCTTTGAGTTTTACAATTTAATGTAAACCAGTAACCTTGTGTCTCCTTTTCCTCCTCTTTCCTCCCGCCTGTTTGGAGCCCTTTTTCAACCAACCCCCAACCCCTCCTCCCTGTCAGACTCTGAAATGTCACTCACAGTGCTTTTTATGCTTCCAACAGTTTCCAAAACAAATACCGGAGGCTGTGACCGGCTGGTGTTCAGTCAGTCGGCCGCAACACTATCTCCCAATCCGAGCGCGAGCCGCTATTGGCGGCAGGTCTGCTCCCTAAAAGGCCTGCCTTTGCCAATCTCTGCGCTCTGGCAGGTCCCAGAAACAAGGGATTTGAGGACTGATGGTCCGCATATGTCTACTGGGAAGGAGGAGACCGAAAAAAGAAGGGGGACCAGACTCAGGAAGATTTAGACCCTAGTTTTCTCTTGTTTGTTTTAGTCTAAAGAAAAAAAATACATGTATATATAAAAATCACACACACACGCACACACACACACACACACACACACACACACACACTCATAGAGGAATTTTGTCCTTGAGTACCAATCCAAAAATTGTCTTTCAGATTTGGGAATTATTTTTTTTCCCTGCTTTCTTTGCTTGCCTATCGCTTGCGTCCTCCCTCGTCGTCTCCTCCCTCCCTCCCCCAGCTCAGGCTGAAACTCGGCTGCGGACACTCACTTCTTCCCCTCCAGGGATGGCTCTCAGTTCGCGAGCGCATGCCTTCTCAGTGGAGGCCTTGATGGGGAGGCCCAGCAAAAGAAAACCACGGGACCCAAGAGAGGAGGCGCAGCGTGAGTTTCTGGAGAAAGAGGGCGGAGAGGAAGAGGAGGAGAGAAGGAGCTCCGCTGCTTGGAAGAGCGAGCTGCCCGGTGAGTATCTACACGCAGCCCCGATGCCCCGAGCCATTGGCCTGCGCTGGCTAGATCCACAGTTCTCTGCCAGGCTCGCCACGCTGTGGGAGGGTGGCAAACTCTACACACAGATGCCCTGTCCAAGCCCAATAGGTCGTTGGGGGCCCTTGGGACAACTTGGCCACCTGACTGTAAGGAACATTTCTGAACTTTTGAAAGGCGCGCTGAGGAACGCGAGTTCCTTTTGGAGTGCAGGGTAGAGTCGCACAGGCTTGTGGAGGAGTGAGACTCAGATCCTCTACACAGCCGGGAGAGCCAAAAGGTGGCTATTCTTCGCTCTGAGAAGCGGGTGCGCTCCCAGCGTGCAGGGAGATCCAGCCTCCGAAACATCTGAAGGAGTATGAGGATGGATCAATCTAAAGAGTTGCATCTTTCTTTCAATGGGGCATAGCTATAACTTCTCCCCTTTCTGGATTAAAGGACCATAGAGGGTGTTGTAGGGAACTTGGGGATCCAACACCAGGATTTTTGGAGATGGGAGAAGGCTTGCTTGTGAGGAACAGAGAAGGATGTGTAGAGCTTCGAAACTCTCAAAATCGGAGCTATCTCTTTGTCCTGCAGAAAAGAGACCCAAGACAGAGTCCTCCGCAGCTGCTCTCTCCAGCTGTGGTGGCCGCACCAGCGATGGCAACAACTACGGAAATCTTAGAAAGGATGTTATTCAAGTGGAGCTTCAAGGGTCCGAGCTGTGGAAGCGATTCCACGACATCGGGACTGAGATGATCATCACCAAAGCCGGCAGGTTTGGCTCCACTCAAAGTTTTCCTGAGTAGCGTAAAGTAAAGTAGCGTAAAGTAACGAACGCACAGAAAGCCGTTAATGATTCCATCTCCTTAATGTGGAGACTTCCTTTTTGTGCTCTGCTAATTTCTCGAATTCCCCACTCGTCGCCAGACATTAGAAAACGACAGGCCCCTCAATTTACTGTGCTAGGTGTATCCTTCCCAGAATAGTAAATGGTCTATCTGTCCTTTACATTTGCACTCCCAACACTTCCTTCAGCTCTTGTTTATGTAGTATATGATAGAAGTGGCAAGCGCCCAGGCAAACAGGTGTCAGATGTTACCCCCATGTTTTAGGCTGGGACCACTCTTATCTGTTTAAAATAACATAGATAAGACTCCAGGACAATCCATTGAACAGTCCCCCTCAGATACTATCCTTGGCCCAAACTATTCTAAGATCTGCCTTTCCCACGCAGGCCTAATGCCACTTTGTAGTGCGGGACTACACCTTCATGACAGCAATTCTTTGTTGTTGTTTTGTTTTGTTGTAATCTTTCTCATTTCGATCTTTCCCAAATTTGCCTCACCAAACTTTCTGCTGAAAACTCAGGACAGAAATTTTCTCTTCTACTGTTTCTCCTAAATTTTTTCATATAGTCAAAGGTGGTATTGTGAGGTTACTCTGATCTATTCAGAAATCCTAGACTTCTTCAATAAAGCATGTGACCAATAATCTCTCCTCACATAGCAAATGCCATTTCCTGAATCTGTCATAGAACTGGAAGGGTGTTGTGAGTCTCAGGTTTTCCATGGTGTCAGTATTTGTTCAGGATTTCTTCCCTTTCAAAATATCTCAAAAATCTTTAGGATCAATATCTATTTTCATTCCCACAGGCGGATGTTCCCCTCTGTTCGTGTCAAGGTGAAAGGGTTGGAACCAGGAAAGCAGTACTGTGTGGCCTTGGATGTGGTACCAGTTGATTCCAAGCGCTATAGGTAACTAGGTCCATATAGGTTATCTCAATGCCTAGGCTGAGGACAGGGATTTGGATTTTTAGATCTACAAACTGACAGCACTATTTTTAAAACTGTAACTTTTGTGGAGGGAGGATTGCCTTTCCTTGGGCTTTGAGAGTTGAAAAACAAGCAGGCATGTCCTCCCCCTCCTCTTGGAAAGCCAGGTTAATTGGTGCTTTAAGATACTTTGGCCTCTCAGCTTACAGTTCTGGCCCATAGGTATGTAAAATGGGGAGGAGCTGGACTCTAGCTGGCTTACAGAAGTGGTTTGAAGGGTTTGGGAGTGAAAAATCCTCCTGGTGGGCCCAGGCTTCTGGGGACCAACTGGGCTACACTGATTTGGCAGAAAGCTCCAAAAACAATGCTATGATTTGTCCCAAACTAGTCAAGTGGTCCTAACTAGAACACAAGCCCATATTTTCCCCTTGTTTTGAATTTTACCTGAAACTATGAACAAGTGCCAGAAGTTAGGAGAGTCTTTTTACCCTCTGTCTTTGAGTCCTGGACTTAAGAATAGGCTTAAAAGAGACAAATTGTTCCAAAGTTTCATAGCAGCCCAAAAGTACTGTGCTCTGCTAATTTTAACTCAGGAATTCAGTCTATACTCAGCTGTGAACATTCCATCCAGCTTTAAGTGGGGTACCTGGGCCTCCAGCCTGCCTAACCCCTTGTTGGTTTTAACAGGAAGGAGAAAGCCCAGCCCTGAAAATGTACTGGAGCCATGGCCTGGCAACAGTGGAACATGTTGTTTTTGTGACTGACTACTAAGCACAACTGAGAGTTCAAGACTGGAAATGGTTGGGAAATCAACCCCAAGTCTACATTGAGCAGGGTTCCTGGATGGGGGTTCTGATGCTAAATCTGACTTATGAAAGAACTTGGAGGATGACTAGTGACAGTGGGCTGGACGGACTCTTCTCAGCCTCCCACTTCTTCCCTGATTCTTCTCAGCTGATGCACACACACACACACACACACACACACACACACACACACACACACACACATGTATTTCTGCATGGTAAAATGAGACCAATTTCTATTGTGGTTTCTGTGAGGAAATACAAACTAGACATGGAAATCCCATGACATTTTACCTATCCTGGCACTTCATTGCAATTTGATGACATGTACTTATTTACTGTTTGTTTTCTGCCCCCAACACTCTAAAAATCTAGTTGAATCCTGCTACTTGCCTTTGTGATCAATTGGCTGACCTTTGGCAAGGACTTTAAAACCAAAACACAACAACTTCTCAAGTTCCTGGCTTTGGCTAGCTGAGTTTAATGAATACTCTGAACCTTTTCAGGTATGTGTATCACAGTTCTCAGTGGATGGTAGCTGGGAATACAGACCATTCATGCATCCCTCCCAGATTCTACGTCCACCCAGACTCACCCTGCTCTGGAGAGACCTGGATGCGGCAGATCATCAGCTTTGATCGCGTGAAACTCACTAACAATGAGATGGATGACAAAGGCCATGTAAGTGAGCAAAATCCTTCTCCCAGAGGAGGGTGGTGGCAAGGCTCCAGCCCACAGGTCACCCTAGAAAGATCAAGGAAACTTCTCTCAGTCGCACATGTTGTGCTCTTTTAACTCTTAACTGTGCACTTGTAAGCAAAATAGGCAACAAATGGCTCCTGAAAACTTCCTTTGGCATCTGAGAATACTGGCATATGGGAATGATAACTGTAGGCAGTTTGAGCCTGAAAGAGATCACTTTGAGCCAAAATGCCTGGTTTGAGAGTGTGGGAGGGAAACTTCACAGGGCTGTCAGGCACCCTGGCTTTCCAAGCAACATTTGGGCTTTTGCTTTCCTGATAGTGCACGCAATTTTTAGATGCACACCTTTGAAGTAGAACAGTGAGAGGATACAAGTGGAGGACAGGAATGCAGATTGAAATTCTCATCCAGAGCCCATGGAGTTAGTTTATACTTGTTTCAAAGCTCAGGGAACCAATGGCAGGTGATCAAATCCTGATGACACTTGTACATCACACGGATATCTAGATTTGTAAGCAACAAAGGGCCTCCATTTGGAGTGCAATATGCTACCTGGTGTCACTGAGATGTCTTGCTCTGGAAGCTTTTTAGCGATGAAGGCCTCAGTTGGGGGCCAAATGGCACAACAAAGATCCCTGGATGTGGTTTCCTGATCCTCTCTGGTTTAGATTTGCTCCATTTTTTTGCGTGTTTATTAGCATACCATGTGGTTGTGAGATAGGGCAGGATTTTGGGCAGCATTTAACCATTTCTCCCTCAGATCATTCTACAGTCTATGCATAAGTACAAGCCTCGAGTGCATGTGATGGAGCAAGATAGCACAGTTGACTTTTCCAGGATTCAGTCCCTGCCTGCTGAAGGAGTTAAAATATTCTCCTTTAAAGAAACTGAATTCACTACAGTGACAGCTTACCAAAATCAGCAGGTAAAATGGGTTGAGCCCCAGGCTAGCGGGAGAAGCCCAAAGGGACCTGGGGGTAAAGGCTAAGGGCACTCATTAATTAAATTTTAATAATGGGGATAATCATAGTTTTATCACATTATCATCAAGTGAAATTTGACTATGTGATGGTTGTGTTACAAGGGAAAATATAGCAGAGGGGACCCGGGCATAAAGGAGAAAATTATTCTAAATTTGACTTACACATATGTGTATATTTATTTAAAGTGCCGCAATACAGGTTACAGCATTATATGGCTTTTGTAACCATAAGCAATGGTAACAATGTTGTACTGACTTAATTCTCACTCCTCTCTGTCCTTCCTTCTCTTTCTTCCACCTTCCCTCCCTTCCACCTCTGGATTCTCTCTCCTAATTTTCCTCCCTCTTTCCACCTTCCCTCCCTCCCCTCCTCTTCCTCTTTCTCCTTCTCCCTCTCCTTCACCTTTTTCCTCTCCTTTCTTTTTCTTTTGAACCATAGATTACCAAGCTGAAAATAGACAGGAATCCTTTTGCCAAAGGATTTAGAGATCCTGGAAGAAACAGGTGAGTAGTATAACAATCAAATCATGCCTAATATATATGTAGCCCATTTTGCAAATATTCAAAATAAGGAAACTTGTTCAGAGACTTAAATTCTCTAAGTTTTGTTACTAGTGAATGGTAGGAAATGAGTGCGATGTCTCCCAAACCTTGCTTTCTCCCACTGTCTCCTTTAACTACCTTTAAGGTATTTGTTATCCTAGAACCATAGTTTTTATTGAATTTTCTTTAGAATCTAGCTATAAACAAAAGCAATTTCAGATAATTATAATAAAATATAAAAAGTGTAGATGACCATTACTTTCAAGAACTGAATTCTGGGATTGAATAAAGCTAAATCTTTTTTAGGGGAGTATTGGATGGGCTTTTGGAGACATACCCGTGGAGGCCTTCCTTCAATCTGGATTTTAAAACCTTTGGTGCAGACACAAAAAGTAAGCAAATTATATCATAATTTAACATATAAATATAATAATAATAGTCAGAACTCTTGTAGCAAATAAAATGCAAGGAGATAAGTAAATGTCAGATAAAGTATGCTTGCAAGCAAGTGAATGAATGCATATTTTATTGTGCTGTTGAAGTAAAAGGCACAAAGGGAGGAGAACTGGCATAAAGGGAAAAATATTGCTGTAGTCATGGTGGATTTATTGATATGTTTCTTCTTGATTGACTCTAAACCCTTAGCTTCATATCTCATCTGGATTCTTGAATATCTGAGTTTATCAAATTTAAGATCTGTAGGGAGGGCTTGTGGTCAATTTGTGTCCTGATTTACAAAAAATGTTAGCTATATAAATGAATGTTTTATCTTTAATGAGAAAATTTCAGCATGTATTTAAAAGTCTTTGTAAAAATTGTACTGCCATCTAGCTCTAATCTTTCTTTGTGTGTGTGTGTGTGTGTGTGTGTGTGTATAAAAGTAAATGACAAAAATAATACTAGATGATCAAAATGAATTTATTTTTTGCAAGTAAATGTATATTTTACTCTTGTTTTCAAACTCTTAGAAAAGTCATTGAACATGTGATTCAAGGCAATAACAGTAGATTGTGGGGGTTATAACATGTAAGGTAGCATATTTGATGCATATGACATAGAAACTGGGAAAACAAAGTATAAGTATACTCCACTACTATAAAGTTCTTACATTACACATGAAGGAGTATAACAATACTTGAAGATAAACTCTAAGACAAAGATTAGTACTACGAATAGAAACAAACATTAAAAAGGTAGCTCATAGACCATACAAAAATAGAACATTGTCTATATCTGGCATGGATTGTATCATTTGCCTCATTGTTTCTCTTATATTTTCTAATATTTAAAATGTTTTAAACAAACTTAAAAACAGAAAGCAATAGTATTTTGATGTACTCACTTATTATATATTTAATTCCATTTAAACATATTTATTCAAACATCATTGTATAGGGTAAAAAGTATTTCACCAGAATGCCTTATCTAATTATTATGATGATTTAGTCATAGAGTGTACTATCTGAAGACAAATATTTGTACATTTGTGATGTAGAAAGTTAAGGACTATGTGATTGTATCTAACTATAACCCTATTAATCACTACTTCTCCATTCATAGTCCTGACTATATTGATTTGATCAACATTAACACTCATTTTTAATATTAATTTAAGTGATATCATCTAGGCAGCATGCTTTAAAAACTTCCAACACTATGTAATGTTCAAAAGAAATGAACACCACTCTAAAAAATAACTTTTAGGTGTTTTATTGAAAAGACATTTGCCACTATGCTGATGATAGATTAAGCTAAAATACACACATAAAAGACTATCAAACTTGAAGTCTAGTTGATAACCTATTGTTTGAATTTAAAAGTGTTCAAAACTGAGGTTTAGAATCTTGGCATTTTTGGACCTTATAATTATCCCTGATTTGGGGCTGGGAAGGTGGCTCAGTGGTAGAGAGCTTGCCTTGCATGCTTGAGGCCCTGGGTACGATTCCTCAGCACCACATAAGTAAAAAGAAAAAAGCTGGAAGTGGTGCTGTGGCTCAAGTGGTAGAGCACTAGCCTTGAGCTGAAGAGCTGAGGGACAGCGCCAAGGCCCAGAGTTCAGGCCCCATGAGTGGACCCCTAAAAAAAATTATCCCTGATTTTAAAGTTGCTAAGCTATGTGGATTCTTTCATTTCTATCTTGATATTTCTTAACTTGAAAATTTGTCTTCAGCTCTTGTTATAGTGATTCATACAAGTATCTCCATGAATGATTTTCTTATATGAAACCTAAAGCTAAATACAGTGGCTCATATCTGTAATCCAAGCTACTTGAGAATTAGGACAGGAAGGCAAAATGTTTGCAGTGAGAATGTGCAAAAAAACAGGAGAATCTGTCTTGATAAACAAGCTGAGCATGGTGGCATATGCATGTAATCTCAGCTACAGAAATATAGGTAGAAGATTGAAGTCTGAGTCTAGCCTAAACAAAAAGCAATAGATCCCATCTGAAAAAGAGTTAAAGCAAAAAGGGGTAGAAGTATGACCTAAATGATAAGATTGCCTAACAAGCATGAAGACCTGATTTCAAACACCAGAAGCATTAAAAAAATAGCTAGTGGTTGTAAACATGCTATATTCACTTACCAAAAGTTATTTTCATATGCATTTATCTTAGACTGATGCACTCTCTGAAATCCAAAATAATGAATTAATTGATTCAATTCATTGAACTATCTTAAAATTTAGGAAATGAAAACCTAGATTTGCTGGGTGCTAGTAGCTTATACCTGCCATCCTAGATACTCAGGAGACTGAGATCCGAGGATCATGGTTCAAAGCCAGCCCTGGGTAGGAACGTCCATGAGACTCTTATCTCCAATTAACCACCAGAAAACCAGAAGTGGATATGGCTCAAGTAGTAGAGGGCTAGCCTTGAGATGAAGAGCTTAAGGACAGTGCCCAGGCCCAAAGTTCATGATCCACAACTGACAAAAAAAAGAGAAAACCTAGATTTTATTCCTAAGAAGTTATTGAATGAGTTGTTCACTTGGACTTCTTTAAATTGTTGTACAAACATGATTCAAGACCCTAATACTGTCATGTTAAATGTTCAGTAAGTACATGCGTCTCAGTAGTAGTGCTAAAAATAATAGTAGAGATACTGTATTCACTGTCTGTGGAATGAATAAGACCTTTCTCAAGGAAAACAACTAAACTTACAAAGAAAGCTAATCTAAGAATGAAGCAGAGATGTTGATGGATATGAGTTTTGATTCAACAGGAAACATCAAGTTCTTTATTCATTGGCTGCATTCTCATTCACAGGTGGAAGTAGTGGCTCATCTCCAGTGAACTCTAGTGGAGGGGCTCCCTCTCCTTTAAACTCCATGCTTTCTCCACCATGCTCTCCACCTACATTTCACTTGCCTACAAGCTCCCTTGGAATGACCTGTCCAGAAGCCTATCTGTACAACCTGCCATTTTGCTACAAGATTTGTCCAACTAACTTCTGGCAACAACCACCTTTGGTGTTACCTCCTCCTGAATGTGTAGCAAGCAACAACAGTGCTCAGTCTTTAGCCCCACTCATGATGGAAGTGCCTATGCTATCTTCTCTGGGACTTGCCAATTCAAAAAATCATTCATCAGAAAACTTCAACGGGCAGTATCTACAAGCACCCCATTCTGCAAATCAAATATTATATGGATTACAGGCACCTGGAAACATTTTCCAATCAAACCCCGTTGCCCCAGAAACCATTAGTTGCTCTTTGGGTCCATCCTATGGCTATTATAAGTACAACTTCTCTATGCCATCTAGGCTGATGAATTCTGCCAACCAGCTCAAAGCAAATGGCAACAGTCAAGTTTCTTTTAGAGAAGGCAAATGTAATCATGCTCATTGGTATCCAGCAATCAATAATTGTCTTTAATGCAACAATTCTGTTTTAAACACAATTGCATGTAAGCACCTGTTTTCTTGGTATTTAACCAAAGAGAGGTCAACAGCTATTGGGCTTATAAAAATCCTCATTATCAGACAGCATCACTTCTATGCTTTTAAAGTGCCTTATTAAATGTTCACAAGAACTTGGGTATAAGTCAAACATGGCCTACGAAAATATGTGACTATAGTGGATTGGGCCTCAAAATAAGTATTTAATAAATATTTGATAAAATAGCACATCAGTGAAAATTGATGTCAGGTGACTGGCTTCTATATCACTTGCCTCTTACATATTGAAAGTGAGTTAAAGAAGATAGATGTCATTCCTATAAAAGCAGGAACTGACTATGAAGATTGGTTTCTTTGTAAATATATATTAGCAATTATAGAAAAAATGTTTAGTCTACACTTTTATACTTTGCTATGGAATAAATACTAATTTCAATTTTAAGGTGAATATATGGACACAAACTTTCAAATCTTACTTTTATTATTTTTCCAGTATCAGCCTTCAACTTAGAGCCTTGTGCTCTTGTTGGCTTTCTTGCTCATAGCTGGCTGGCACTCTATCATTTGAGCTATGCCTCTAGTCTGGTTTTTTGCTAGTTAATTGGAGATGGAATCTTGAGGACTTTCTGCCAGGACTACCTTCAAACTGTGATCCTCCAGGCCTCAGCCTCATGAGTAGCTAGGAATACAACTGTGAGCTAGAGGCACTTGGCACAAGTATACTTTTTATAAATATTTGTAATCTAATGAGTATTTAATACTAAATAAACAGAAAGATCAAATGAAAAGGAAAGCATCCTAAATAGAATTTAATATTTTCACTTTATATTTGGATAGTTATTAGATGGAACTTAACTTATTCTTTAATGAACCTGATATTTTTATGTATCATTTAAAAAAAGCAAATACTTTTTTAATTTTCTTTATTTTTATGTTTTGTTTATGTGGCTCCAAGGAATTGAACCTAGGGGCCTCATGCATGCTAGGTAAGCACTCTACCACTAAGCCACATTTCCAGCTCCAAGACAAGTAATTTTAATTGTTTAGAAAGACTAAGAAATTATTTGGAGGCAGAGAACATATTTGAGTTTGTAAGAATGAAAATAGCATTATATTTGTAGAATTTAATCCCAGACTTGTATGCTAGTAATGGTAAATTAGACTAAAGTAGAAAAAAAGACTATTTTAGTTGACAAAGTTAAACTGTTTTCTTTCACTATATCCTAGATTTGTGTAAAGAATTACAAATTATAACCCATATTCTAGGGCTTGAACTCAGGACCTGGATGCTGTCCCTGAGCTTTTTTGATAAAGGCTAACTCTACCACTTGACCACAGATCCACTTCTAGCTTTTGGTGGTTAATTGGAGATAAGAGTCTCCAACTGGAGACTTTGCTGCCCAGGGTGACTTTGGTATTTAGCTAAAGAGAGGTAAACAGCTATTGAGATTCTCAGATCTCAGCCTCTTGAGTAGCTGGGATTATATATGTGAACCACTGGCATCTATTTCTCAACCTGTATATATTTAAGATCAATCAGCTGTTAATTCTTCTTTTGAGTAATTCTGGCCATTTTATTTAGCCAGAATATTTCATATAATGATGGCATGACTTGATTTTGAACCTCTAACAAATCTGCTAAGCTGCTTCTGAAGAGTATTTCATAATTTATGTTGTTCAAAATGGCTATTTCATCTTAAATATGCCTTATAAATGTGATTTTCAATATATGAGTTAATATTATATACCCTTGCACATGATTGCACTCAGACCAAATGTTCTAATGAATACAAAAACTATTTGGGAATTAAATTTATAAGATACCTGTTGCAAGGTCCTTGATGTACAAAAATCTGTATTATGCAACTCTATTAAGCCAGGAATTGAAACAACAAGCATTTATTTTTATCTTCTTCAAAACAGCACAACCCTAGGCCAACTTTAGTAAGGCAAATTTTGACCATCGTGAAAGTTCTCATTTCAGATTGCAATGAAATGTATTCTGAGGGTTTACATGGGAGAACCTAAGTAATTTACAAGAGAGAATTTAGCTGAAAACTTAAATCTTTGAGTTACTTCTCAATGATTATGTATGAAAAGGCACTTATTTTGTAGCAGATCTATGGTGTATATGCCCTACACTTTCTATTTCAAATAATTATTCTAAATGTTACGAACATGAAAGTGATGATATATAATTAGACTACAAATGGTGACAAGTTACACTAGCAATGACAATTTTAAACATTAACTGCTAAAAACCATTTCGTATAATGTTCCTAAATTATTGTTTCACACTTGAAAATAGAGAAACTCTTCATAGAAAATTATATATTAGAGGAGCTTCAAGCATTTAAGGAAGCAATCCCCTTCTTCTGAGTCATGTATGTAAATATTAATATCTTTGCCATTTTCTGTGGAATAAATTCGGACTATGCTTATGGAAATACAACAAACAACAAAACTTAGGAATTCTACTTTTAATTGTCTTAACTAAATGTTAGGTGTGCGTTGAAAATCTACAAGAATCAAAAGCCATTCTGGCTAGACAACGTGAAATGTGAATAAAAGTGGCCACATGAAACTTAACAAATAATTTGAAATTGAATAATTGAAATAATTTAAAGTTTTCCTTCTGGTCTGAAGATGCATATACATGAGCCACTCCCTTTTCAAAGAAAACACCAGACTACCTTTATAAACACTATTCTTAATTTGACCTGGCTATATTACTTTTCCCAACTAAACCTAGAGAAAATAAACTTTAGATCAATTCTGTAAGAGTTTAATATCAAGTCAGTAAATAAGTGAATGTTACTTTATCCTTAAAGACTTCAGCCAAGCCCAGACCTGTAGTTAGAGTCCCTGTTCAGGTTGGTATTAGTTTGTGGAACAGTCAAACTGAAATCAAGGATTTAAAGTTTGGGCTTTGTTATAAATAAAGATCTAAGTGGATAAATCCTCTATTTATTGCATCTGAAATACCAATATAAAACTTTAGATGATGGAAGTTAGGACATTAATCTCTTTTATACCATTATTTATTTTCACTACACAGGGTGCCAAAAGCTTTCTGGAGATTACATATGGGAGTCTAAAACAACTTTATATGATTTTAGGTTATGCAATTTAGGGCCTTCAAATTATTGAATATCAATCCTTCTATTTAGTGTACTACAAAAATAAAGAAGCTTATTAATGAAGGCTATGAAGAGAGATGTTCATGGAATTTCACTGCAATTAGACATGAATTCCAGGAATGGACCTCACTTCATTCTTTTGTGAGATTGAAGCATGTCTATGGCAAGAAAAAAAGTGAACTGTGAGAATCAGCAACTGATAAGTCTTTGGTTCATCAGAGTTGTATGTGCTGACAACTTGACAAAGATGCCAGCAATCAATAAAGACAACCATGTGCATTGGATATTACAGAAGATTTCCCTTCCATTCTGCTAATCATTTCTATGCCACACCTTGAGGGAAATCTGGCCCACATAAACAAGTAATATGTATTGAACAGATGTGCCTGTCAGATATGTTGGTTAAGCCAGAACATAGTTGAAATTAGTGTTTTGTATAAATGCCTAAATATATTTCACAAAACCCTATACATGTTAAAGACAAATTTAGATCTATTGAAACAAGAGTTATATATCTGTATATACAATAGCATATTATATACTGTAGTTGTTTCCTCATTAAATCGTACTAACAATTCTTTTTCTTCTATGTTTATACAGTTTGGTAAATTTCAAATGTCACTGATACATACACATATATATGTATATACACATATATATTATACAAATACACACTATAGTGGAATTCTAGTTTAAGGCTGTTTTAAAATAATTTACACTGCATTGCCTTTGATCTTTCCATTTCTAAAAAGAGATGGTGCAAGTAACTCCTACTATTTTATAATTATGTGCACTGTTTGCCATATATTCTTACGCTGAAAGATTTGAATATATTTAGAAATGTCTAACTGCATGTACTGTTCTCTGTGAATCAAATTGACAGGGTGGAAGTACAATGTTTTTACTTCAATTTAGAGATACATTGCCTTTGTGCTGAAATTCCTTCAACTAGCCAAAATAACAATAATATCCTGATATACAGCAACAGTTTACCAGTTGATTTCACTAGAATTGGACTTGTTTATTGGAGTAGCTTTAAACAAACCAAATGTATAGCTTAGGCATTGGTGGCAGCAGCTTTGATATAAGTTCCTTGGTATACATTTAATCTTCCTGGTTTGGTCTGTAATTAAATGATAATTTGCATTAAACTGTGCAAATAAACATGGTTTAGATGACAACATAAAACAGAACCAAAAGATATGATAGAACATTTGAAACATATCCCATATTAAAACTATTTACATGTGTGCTTCCAGCCAAATTTGGACATGCTGTTTCAATAAAATATTGAGAAGAAAAAAACTCTAGTATCATTTCCTTTCAAAGTTTCAAATGTTCATGTTTACAAATTTGTACTTCACATTAATATGTAAACATACATTATAGTGAGCAGATGTACAGAGAAGAGCTACAGGATTTTTCCGCTTAGCAGAAATGTATTTACATGTCTATTGGCTTTATTTTTAACTGCCTAAAAGTTACAGCATTTAAAGTTAAATATAATAGAAAATCCTAAAATTGTAGTACAATATATTGTACCAATAAACATTTTACTTAAATTGTGATATCTTTGTTATTGTTAAATTTGGCAGAATTTTGAGCTGTGTTCTAAGACTACATACTTTATGTACATGATGAAAAGTAATCTAATATTTTAGTTGTAAAACTATTATAAAAACTCAGTAGGTTACTAGAACAAAAAAAGAAGTAAAATCCTGTTTATAGTGGATAAAGTTAATGTAAGATTTGTTTACTAACTTCATACATTTAATTTTTCCTTTATTTGAGTTTCATATTTCTTTTGTGTCATAAAATTTTTGTGAACGTCCCACCA